TCTTCTTCTCTTTGCTACCATGAAACCGGTCAAGGGGATCATGCCGCGAATTATTGCAACCCTCCAATGATCGAGTGGAATCTTCCTGAGCTTTCCAGTTTAATAACATCGCCGAATAGCCGCAGGTCTACACGTTGATGATGCGCGAACGATACGGCGCATTTATAATTTGAGAACTTAAAACTGTCGCGCGATATTGATTAACCGTTTATCTGCTCTATTGATTCAATTATTTTTCAAATGTCCTAAACTCTATATATAGAGCGCCAAAGAATATAAATTACAAATTATACAAAGTATCCAATATTTCCTCATCCTTCCTCTCTCTCCTCTCCTCTGCTATTTATTTCCCCTTCTAACTGGATTTTGACCTGCTTGTTCTCCTCCAAGAATGTAGAACGAACCCGAGACGAGGGAATTGTAAATCCCAAAATGTAAATCGCGTGGTCGTCCTGGAAAACGATCGGATTAACTCGCCCGAGAAGCGGGACTTGTTTAAACAGTGGATTAACTCGTGATCGCTCTGCTCTGTGTACGTGAGCGCAGTTATCTCAAATTCAATTTACCGTAACGACAGTACTCGCGTTAATCAGCCGGTCACCGAAACTTAACATTCAAACTCATCCCCACGCGAATCCTTTCAACGCCGCACTGACAAATTTGCGTCGTGAGACACGTTCGACAAGATTCGTCACACACAAGCGATAGCAATCAACAGCCCGCCAATTTCGACAAGCGATTCTTCATTCTCGGGAAAAGTCGAAAATTTCATCTCCAGTAAAACGACATTTCTTTCGCCATCCTGACAGTTGAATTATCACTTTGGGAGAGCTAGAAAGAAGCCCCGAAAGAATAAAGAAAAAATTTTGCAAATTCCAACAGCTTTTCGTGGTCGAGGATTTTGTTGACAGTGTTCGAATCCCAAAGGAACCACTTGCCTCACGAATGGCCACTTGATACCTCGACAATTCAGTTGTGAAGGAGCAGAAACGTGCCGCTATGAACGCTGGCTCGTCCGTTTACTATTTCACCTGATTGTCATTAGCATTACAATATCGATACCTGCCGGCAAAGTAACCTGCAGCAAAAAAACCTAAGCATTTTAGGCAGTTCCTATTTATCGTCGATACGTGACGACGCATACCTACCGAAACTAAATTTTCCAGGCGCTCCCTTTTCATTTCGCGGTTACCGGTTTTCGTCCCAAGTGTTATTCACAAATACAATTCACAAACGAAAGTTAAGGGAACGTCTTGACGTTCCAAACTGACAATTCCGAGTTCGAAATAGGCTCGAGTACCACTAGACTCAAGCTATCATGACGGTCAGTTTCGAGTGCCAACTCGAGTGGCTGTTATGCGAGGATTATAAAATATGTTATGTACCGTTTGTAGAATGTGTTGTTTGACAATTGGACGAAAAAAGACAATTCAAGGCAGGTATTCTTATTCTTTGACACATTTGTTTGGTATCATCAGTGTTCTCTCTTCATTCGTTCGGATCATCCCTTTTTCTCCATATGAAATTGAACGCGCATTTGACTTTAATATCAAAATTATCAACACAATAAAAATATCGAAACATTATTAATATTTGTACACTTGCTACGGAGTGGCGTTGTTAACGCGGAGTTATATCTTTCAGACATTCGAAGTCTCTCTCTCTCTCTCTCTCTCTCTCTCTCTCTCTCTCTCTCTCT